ATTTTTACGTTATGTTTGTGTATGTGCGAACCCTTAGTAGCTCCAAAAAATGGAAACAATAATAACAGCTACTCTGCCTAATACCCGCTTTATAGTTAGCTGTAAAACACAAACTTGTAATCCAACATTATTTTTGTGTCTTTGACGACCCGCGAACGGGTAATCAAGTTACGCCAAATAAAACAATGTCCTGAGATAAATGGTGATCGTTTCTTTTTATGTGCTATGTGTAAAGTATGCGACAGCTCCTTCAGCCCTTTAATGCACCTACCAAATTGAACATTGCATAAACAAAGGACATTGCTCTGAACGAACCCTTCCTCTCGCTAAAAGGAGTACTGAGGGCTATCCTGGAGTAGGTTTGGACCAAAAAATGGTAGTATAAAACCTCCATGTCGATGGGTGTTCCCCATCCTCCGTGTTTTGCAAAAATAAACAGCTACAAGGCCTTGAACCAGGCACCCAACAAAACATTAAAAATAAATCTTTTTGCGCTAATTATTCGCGTCTTATAGATAAAATAAAGGGGGGAATCTGTCATTTGCAAGTTTAAACAACTAGCGATATAATAATGAAACTAAATAGTAGGGATGCATCATAACCGCGATAGCAAAAAAACAAACAAAAAACAGATGGATGCATTATAAAATGATTTTCTTTTTACGACCCACCGAACATAGGACAACAACCGTTTCACACTTTTTGACGACTTTCTGACGCTTTTGTTCTAGTTTTCTTTCTATCTCAATCGAACGGATGCTTCGGCTGCATGAGGGCCGGCATAGTATCGACGTTCGGCAAAGCAACGCTTATCGCTGGGGTACGTAATTTATTTCCAGGCTGATTTGCCGAGAAAAAAAAAAGCGCGACGCGTCATTGCCAAATTTTTTTTTTTTCTGTATAAGATATTAATCGATGCGTTAAGGGCATTCTTAAGATACTGATCGAAGCGTTAAGAAGGGTACAAAATGCTAAAACTCGAAAAAGTAAAAAAAAAAAAAAAAAAAGCGCCGCACTTGGGTGCACGGTGCCGTCGGTTATCAAATCCTTTATCTGCATGAAACCGCAAAGAAACCGGATCGCACTTCGTAGAAGCTTAAAGTTCGGAGAAACAAAACAATGACCAGGGATGACAAAATCAAAGAGATGGCAAAATCCATACTTTATCAAAGCGCCATCATACACGAGTTTATCTGCTCATGTCTAGGTCTGGATGACGATGCCGGCGCCATCTCTTGTTCTAGAATCACACTAAGTGAGGGTGGGGTTTCACCGTAAGAAACGCAAACCGTGGCTGGCTCGTTTTGGTTTCGAGATTCGGCATTTGAGAATATGTGAGCACAGGAGCGACGATAAAGTACTCAAGAGATGCCTTGTGTGTCGTAAACTGTTAGAAACTATAGCTGCATAAACACAGGGCATCATATCATGCCCCCGTAGTTATGGGAGGTGACTTCGGTGTGCCTTTGCTTAGGCAGCACGATCGCCACAAAAAGTGCACAATCTCAGATGTTCAATGCCTAGTTTCAGTTACAAAGTGAGGGCTATTGCCTCCTCATCACGCAACGATACAAATTAATATAACCGCAGTCGTATCGCGTTCGCCTGAAGCCGCTTACGCTTCGTCTGCCCCACTACGCTCAAGGTCGCTTCCTTGGAAGTCCAACCGGCAAAGGAAGTAACAACAGAGAAGCGCGGAGCGGGACTCAAATGACTCCCCTCTACAACGGGGAGGAAATTGAAATAATATTCGTTTGGTTGTTAGCACATGATATTGAATCCCGGAGAAAAGCTCACCGGAGAAAAACTCACCGGAGAAAATCTCACCGGAGGTAAGCTCACCGGAGAAAAGCTAACCGCAAAACCGGCGAATGCGGAGAAAAGCTCACCGGCCATTGAGCTATGCGGGGAAAAGCTTACCAATATTTTTTTGTTCTTTTTATGTGGAGGCTGTTGGATAGTGCGTAACATGTATCAATTTATAATCATTAAAATTCGTCGGCTTTGTAAAAAAGAAAATATCTTCTTTTGCAATATTTGTTAAGCTTATTGGCTATATTGCTCCCAAATTAATAATTGCGGGCGAGTGTTTTCTGTGGCTTACTCTCGAGGCAACGAAAGCCTAACTAAAAACTTTATGACCTTGAAGATCAGGAAAAAGTTTAAAAAATTTATTGCACTCTAAAAAAAAAGGGTGTAGTACTTACACCCAGTGGGGTGTATGTGACTTGTCCCATATACGACACCCCCATGGGTATGTATGCGACACCCCAAAAAGGGGTGCATACATGCACCTCATTTTGAAGTGCACATGTACACCTCAGCGGGTGCATAAGACACACCCCACCCCGGGGTGTACATATATTCCGTTTCTCACTTACTGGGAATACTGATACACCCCATTTTTAGGTGTACATATATTCCGTTTCTCACTTGCTGGGAATACTGATACACCCCTCTTTTAGGTGCACATATATTCCGTTTATCACTTACTGGGAATACTCATACACCCCATTCTTAGGTGTACATATATTCCATTTCTCACTTACTGGGAATACTGATACACCCCATTCTTAGGTGCACAGATATTCCGTTTCTCACTTACTGGGAATGCAGTTACACCCCATTCTTAGGTGTACTTATATACCGTTTTCCACACCCTTCTCACTTACAGGGAACCGATAAACCCCACTCTTAGGTGTACATGTGCGAAGTCAACAAAACTAACACTAGAACATTTTCTATCAAATTGACAGGAAATTTCTTTGCAGCTCTTTTCCAAGCTTTTAACTGTCAAACGACGGTGTTTGTGTCATTTTCATGTCCCATTTGTCAACCCGAAAACAATTAAGCTGCCAATCCCACATTCTATCGTCATTTCATTATATGGCCTGGCATCATTTTGACGTCCTAACTGTGAACCTGAAATACAATTGAGAGCTTTTGTGTCACTCCTGCGAATGTAACATTGTCAGGATCACGCAATATTTTATAAAATAAGGTACGAAAATTGGTATCTGTTCCTACATATTTATTGCTCATAAACACTGGGTGGAACATATACTACAAAAATACATATTGAATGCATGCACCAGAAACGTCGCTTGCTTCTTTTCTTCTTCTTTTTGCATGTCTTATCTTTTATTCTTGTGCCTTGGGTGTTGACCACCAAAAAGAGCCATGGAGCATTCCTGAAAAGCAAAACCCAGTTGTATAACATGATTAGATACATACAGGACACTGTCAAGGCCCCACACCTTATTTAATGAGCATTACCAAAACCAGGAACTCAGCCAACTTCTTAAATATTTTGCACACCATTGAAGAATAGTTGGGTGGAAAGTTTACCACTTTAAATACAGGTGCAAGGCTGGAAAACCGAAAACACAGATATAAAGCATGTGTTTTCAATATACTTAAATAACTGATTTTGGAAGTTTTCAACAATGCCAGCCTGTTTCTTATCGCAACTGTGTTTATTTTTTACTAATAAAATGCACAATTAGCCAAAAAATGCCATAAGCAACCTTGTACTCAGTGGCGCCTAACCAGATAAACGAATGCCAACATCAGAGATGTCCTAATGCAAGCTTCCTTTAACAAAATTTTGGACCATCTAAAACAGTGCTCTCAAACACATTTGAGTGTAGAGGCCAGAAAGCCCACCCCCAAAAGATCGAGGGCTTCTGTAAGGCGGGGGGGTCAAGAAATTTGTTAAAGATACCTTTTTTCTCCACATTTTGTAACTTGCAATCTTGAGTGACATTTTCAGCCGTGATTCATTTGTAGTGCTCCCCTTATCCCTTTCCTGAAGCAATCACAAGAATTAAAGTGGTACTGCCGCCAACATACTGGCATTTTGTTAGAGGACAAGAGAACAAGTACACTGTTGCTGCCGTTGCTTATTTCACTCAGGATATATTCAAGCTCAACATGTCTTGAAAGAATGCCTTTTGCTTTTCTGAGAATTTCTGATAGCACCAGTCTGAGCGAATACTTGTATTTTAATGGTGATATTTTCTGGGGGCGAGAATCCAGAGCTCATGAATTTATCTTTGGTGGTTGCTTCTGACAAGCGAGAGTTCATGCAGTTGAAGTGCATCCTTGGGCAAAGAGCTCGTGGTTGCAGCCTACCAGCGGAATTGTCGTGCAGGTGCTAAATACTAAAAAAAAGACGGGAAGGAAAAATAGAGACTAAACACCTGAAAAATAAAAACGAAACTACATTAACTATATGGATATGTTATAAGAGCATAGCTACGTTTCCAGCGTAAATGAATAGACCGATCCCACCAAGCGTTCCACGCCTGCGTGACGCCGTCATAACTGTAGTTCGTAGGAGGCAGACTCCAGTTCACCCGACAGCTCATGCTGCTTCGTGGTCTGCTCGCGCAAACCTCCAGCATGGTTGTCGCGCGTGTAGAAAGACCACAGCTCCCACGATGCATATCGGCAGCGGTGGCGTACTCAAACTAGCTGGTGAGATCGGTCTATTAGCGACATATTATAATGCATGCCATTTGTAATGCTCGTTATGAGAACGGGAGGTAGCAGCTGGTTTCCTGTGGGCCGTGTTCAAGCAAGTCGCGAGCTGCGTCTTCAAGCACTGAGCAGGTTAATTTTACCCAGTTATCTATTACCTGCCAGTGCATCATAATCTGTACAATGGTGAATATATACCGAGTCACTACTTGCGCGCAGCACAGGCTAAGGCAATGCCCGAAGAGGAGAAAGGGCAAGCGCTAGAAAGGCGGGTGAGGAGACTCGAGAGTAACCTCCTCTCCTATCAAACATTCGTAGTGCTTTCCACCTCTCCCCCAGCCCTGCCCTCCCCTCCCATATGCCTTCCTAGTGCTCGCCTTTTCTCTCTTCGCATGGCGTTGCATTCACCTGCACTACACACAACTAGTGACACAGAGTATAATTGAAGGACGGTACACTCACAGATGTCAAAGCACTTGAAGAGTTCGCAATTTCGGTGCAATGCCACTGGTTGCACTTTTGTATCGCACTTCAGATGGGTTGATTTGCCCGAAGTACCTGGAAAATAATAAGAATGATAGAATAAATTAATGTGCCATAAACCAGGGCTGGGCAGACACACTTCAAAAAAGTATTCGGGAATACTGAGATACATCTGCTTTAAGGCCAAAAATACAGATACTGAGATACATTGTCTTTTATGCAATGCTATATCCCCAAGACACTTCTGCGAAACTGGTGAAAAAGTATTCAGGAATTCAGATACAATGTGTAGTTGTATCTGTATTGTAGAGGGTGTAGTTCGTGGGGAATATGTACGGTCAGTGGCGTTCCAACTTGTTTTCGAGTCAGGAAGGGGGGGGGGGGGGGGGGGCGGGGGAGTGCTCTTGGTATCCCTTGGGCGCCGCCGGCCAGTCTTTAACCTGCCCTGTGGCGGCTGTTTTAGGGGGGTGGCAGGGGGGGGGGGGACAACACACGCCTTGCGCCCCCCTTGCCGCCCCCCCCCCTGGTTGGTACGCCCATGTGAATGGTATCTATGCTTTGCTCCTTTTTTGTGCCATTTTATATGCTGTCCTTCTTACTTCAAACTCTTCATTTATCATTAATGCCGCTAAAGAAAACATGTCGCCCCCGTTGAATCAAATAGTTACAAAATGGTAAAGACTGCATACCATGCTTGACGAAAGGCGTCTGCCAAAATTAAACCTGTTTTGCCGTGAGGGCAGCCTGTGCATCAGAGATTTGAGTCATCAGTACACGTAATCTAACCAAGTACCAAGCCTAATCACACAATATAAGCCTAGCAGTCTGACAAGTAAAGAAGAAAAGAAAACAGGGTCCACCGGATAGTAAATTGCTCACCTTGCCAGACGGTGCCTCGGGACTATGGCGGCATCTGCTAGGTGCAGAGCTTCTGGTCTGTGCATCAGAGAATAGGCATTAGCAAACATGATCTATCCAAGCACCAAGCCTAGTTTCACAAGATACGCTAACAACCTGAGAAAAAGAAAAACAGTCTGCAGCATAGTTGATTGCTTACCTTGCCAGACAGAGCCTCGGGACTATGGTAGCGTCTGTGCTACAAGCAGAGCCTCTCTCCTGTGCATTAGATTACTCATTAGTATACGCGATCTAGACAAGCACCTAGCCTAGTCACACAATTTTACTTAGCAGCCTGACAAGTAAAGAAGAAGAAAAAAAGAAAATAGGGTCCGCAGGGTAGTGAATTGCTTACCTTGCCAGAACGTGCCTCGGGACAATGATGGCATCACTGCTAGGTGCAAATAGTCATTAGTAAACGTGACCTAGCTAGGCACCAAGCCCAATTTCACAATACATGTATTACAAACAAAAAGAAACAAAAAAACAGTGCAGAATAGTTGGTTGCTTACCTACCCAGAAAGGGCATCGGGACTATGGTAGCGACAGTGCTACAAGCAGAGCCTCTCGCCTATGCAGTAGAGATGAAAGTCGTTAGTACACTTGATCTAAGCAAGCACTTAGCCTAATTTCACAATATATGCTTAACAATCTGACAAGAAAACAAAAATCAGCAGGCTAGTTGATCGCTTACCTTGCCAGACGGTGCCTCGAGACTATGGCGACATCTGTGCTAGCAGCAGAGCTTCACTCCTGTGCCTTAGAGATTCGAGTCATTAGTACACGTGATCTAACCAAGCATCTTATGTTATCTCACATTTCACAGGTGCGTGAGATGACTTGCATACTACAAGCACAAGGAGACACTCGCGTTTTTGAACCATTAACACTGCGACACCTAATTGTTGCTGTAGTGTCACAAAGTGTATGCTTCACAAATGAAAAATGCAATAAAACGTGTAGTCTAATATTACAAATTTTGCCCAAGAAAGAGTCTGACAAGTAGGGTACCAACATGACAATTCAAAGTTAGCCAAACTCGAGCTTCGAAAAAGTTAGCATCCGCGGGTACAGCCACTGCACATGTTTCCGAATAGAGCTCTCAAAGTAACGCCAAACTGAGCACCACACACACCGAAGCTGGTGCATGCTGTCCTAGAGTTCCTGCATAGGCTCTCTACGGTAGTCAGGGTTGTGCGTCTATTATCCACACGCTGACACGCCGCTATTCGCCTAGATCCGATCATGTGAGGAGCAAAATCCAAATACTGTGCAGGAAAGCCGCCGATACGGCCGTTTCGCAGACGTTGCAATCTCCTCAGCGTACGTTCCCCTGCTTTTGTCTCCTCCTCCTTTCCTGTTTTTCAGGAAAGGAGAAGGAGCACGTTGCTGTTCGCCCAATCCAGTCAGATGAGGAGCAGAATTTCGTCCCCTGCAGGAAAGCCGGTGCTCCGGGGTGAACGCGCAGCTCTGGCTCAGGGTTGGCAGATTGGGCTATAAACAGCCCAATTGGGCTACTCAGTTTTGTAATAGGCAGGAAAATCTGGTGGTTGGCTATTAAGCTATCTCATACCCGATATTCAACAATTTTCAAAGCCTTAAACATGATATTTCTGCGCCGGGTAGAGAAAAACAATCAACTCAAGAAGTTATTAAAGGAAAATATCTAAATCACAAGCGTGCAAATACAATATGTGGACCCTCATTGGTGTTGGTTGCGGAGGTGCAATATCGTTTTTCTGAAGTTTTTTGGCACGATTTAATACCGCAGGCACGGGTGGAGGCACGTGTTTCCAGAAGGAGGGAGGAAGAGGAGTGGGGGCAGCTTAACAGATGTTTGAGAACCCCCTCGTTTCGCTGCACTAAAATATACATGGGGACGCTTTATCCTCTTAGTGCCTTCTTCTGTAAATAATTGTCTTATGTCATGTATCATGTTACCCGTGTTCCAAAGAGACGTAAATACCTTGTATGAAATTTTGTGTTGGGCTATTTTTATAGCCCGACATGTGGCTATTCTTGGGCACAATATCAGGAAATTTTGACGGGTTAATCTGCAAATACCTGGCAACCCTGCTCTGGCTACCGTAGGGTGCCTACGCAGGAACTCCATGCTGCCCTAGAGTTCCTGCAGAGGCAGCCTACGGGAGTCAGGAGTTGCGCGCTCATCCCAGTAGCTCCGGCTTTCCTGCACTTCAAGTCTGCTCCTCACGTGACTGAATTCGGGGAATAGCGGCCGTGGCGCTCTACCTCCTCATTTCCGGGAAAACAGGACAGGAGGAGGCAAAAGCGGGGGTATGCACACCGAGGCGCTTGCACCGTCGGCGAAGCCGCCGTACCGGTGGCCTTCTTGCACGGCATTTGGAGTCTGCTCCTCACGTGATCGGATATCGGCAAATAGCGGCGCGGTGGCACGTGGAAACCAGACGCGCAAGTCTGGCTGGAGCTTATAATCTGAATGCTGTACTAGAGTACCAGTTCCTGTATAGGCTCCCTACGGGAGCCAGAGTTGCGCGTCTATTTTCTACGTGCCGCCGCTCCGCTATTTGCCGAGATCCGACCACGTACCGTGCAAGAAAGTAACGTTGCACGCGCCCCGCCGTACGCACCCCTGCTTTTGAGCGCGCCGCGCGCCTCGTCGGTTCGAGAGTCAATGGTTCCAGTACCCTCTCCCTCTTCGTAGTGGCCGAGCAGGGAGGGAATATGGTTTCGTTGTGTCGACCTCGGGGGCGGAAGATTACGCACGATGGTATCTAGGTCACAGCGCCTCAATGGTTGAACAGGATGTAGCTGACGTTTTGGGTGTTGAACGGGTGGGAGAAGCCTTGCGCGCGCGTTGTTTTCTCGACACTCAGCCTCGTGTCGAGGTGGCAGCACATATTCGCCAAGAGGTCCAAAAGTCGCGCGAGGAGCTGGATCAACATGCCGTGCAGGAAAGACGGCGCTACGAAAATGAACGCGCAACTCCGACTCCCATAGGTGACCTATAAAAGAAATCTTTTATAGGTCACTTTGTCCCGAAGCGCCACCTTAGTTCCATCATCCCCACTGAAAATCGCATTGCATAACCATACGTGCGAGCGAAGCCGGTAACAAGCGCGAGCATGTTGCTCTGCAATCGAACTACGTTTCACCGACATATCGTTTTATAGGTACGCGATGATTCATCGCCAGAATGCTTCATCGACAGCACAAACTACCTTTTTTCTGTAAGAAGCTGCCTCACACTGTTGCCACGAAGCGGATAGTACGTGTAGGATACACCCGCGACGAAATGCCCCTACAATGCTAAATCCGCGTAACGACTGTCGATGGAACGGTAGTGTCGACGAACGAGTGTCCATGAAACATCTGTCCACAAAAAGTGTTTTTTGGCGAAACGATAGAGACCCGTCGCTCTGAATGACGCCAGCTCTACACGCAAGTATAATGTCTCGAAGCGGCGATGTCGTGCTCGTTTGTACACTCAGAGAACCGGGCACCGCCACCGCGCACACATGCCACAAATACAAAAGCGAAGAAACTCTGACATAAACAGGAGAAAAAGGAAAGCACGTCCCCAGCTAGCAGGCCCCATGCCTCGGAAAACGCAGCATCCAACGAGTGCATGTAAACGGCAGACTTACCTTTATGATTTATCGGGGGGGGGGGGGGGGGGGGGGACATCTTGGTTTGTGACTGCAGTGCAGCTACGTGCCAAGCATCGCTTCGTGAACACGATCCGCTTTGTCCAACCACCTTCTAAAAAAACACGCAATTCAAAATAGCGCGAATGAACAAAGGCGATGTCACCCGCCAGCCGAAGCAAAAGCATGGCCACCGAAGCTAGCCAAGATGGAATGCAGGAGGTGAGGAGGTCAAGTCTCCTAGCAACACGAAGGCCAGATAACGCGCGAAACGTGATCGCTATCGCGATAGGTTGTCAGTCGGATGACGTGTAACCAGTGACCGCTAATCAGGACGCGCGCTCTACACTATTACCGCGCGCATTTTGTTTGTTTTCTTGCGCTCTCCTGATAGCACTCCCTCTCCCCTTTTTGAAAAAGGAAAAGGGGAGGGGGGGGGGGGTGTAATGGTGCACCTGGCAACACCCTCGCCTCGCCCGCCGATTCTTTTGGGAGAGGAGGATCCGCGTGATGGGAGTGCGATTACGCTCGCCGGGTGTCTCCAGTCGAAGGGGGGTGTAAGGGTGCGCGATACACCCACATACACCCTTTTTTTCTGAGAGTGATGTCTGCATAAAACCTAAAAAATCAAAGCTCTAACTGCCGAAAATGCAAAAGTGCATGCGCAACACCGCGGTGCTTGAAATTTTCTTTGAAGCGTTTGTTAACCTTTGAAAACAGGATAAAACAGTCAATAGGATATCGAGGCTTCTTTCTTCCACGGACATGCACGTTTTCTAGCCTGTTTTCACACGTTCCCTTTTTGTGATACTGAGTGCCCTTCTACGCTGAGCCACCCATGACCTTCGGAGCTGCGTAATGGCACCGTTTTTTCTCGTAACCTATAGAAGAAGTAGTCTTCTGTTATGCAGCGAATAGGGCGAATTGGTAAACGTTATACATGATGAAAACCGCTCAAACGACGACGACGGTGTGAAGAAAACAAACACGAAAAGCGAAATTGTTCTCGCAACTAAAGTTTTGTTATTGAAATTAACAGAAAGAAAACAGCGTAGCCGACACTGACTACATCAACAAACACCTTCTTATCTATTAGGCACTACACAATATTTGGAGCTGAACCGGTTCACACACCGCTATTGATTATAGCTCGCAAAGAACAAACCTCTTCATCTTACGGAGCTAGCGACGGCGCGCTGTTAGCTGTCAATAAATTGTTGCGTCTTTTATCGGTGTAAGATATTTTGATTTTATGCTTGCTGCTTCATTAATTTATAGAATAGGTGATTACTAATCTCTGAGGAATTGATAAATATGCCCAATGAACTTCAAGAATATTACAGAAAAGAGGACATATTTTTAATGAAGTGACGAATGCGAATTGTGTCAAATTGCCACGTTTGACGCAGATTCAAGCTAAGCTAAAAAAATATCGGTGAGCTTTTCTCCGCATCCGCTCAAAGGCCGGTGAGCTTTTCTCCGCATCCACCGGTTTTGCGGTGAGCTTTTCTCCGGTCAGCTTATCTCCGGTGAGCTTTTCTCCGGTGAGCTTTTCTCCGGTGAGCTTTTCTGCGGTGAGCTTTTCTCCG